CCGTGCCACTTTGCCAGTGCCACCTGCCTTGTCCCCGTTAATGTCCCCTGTGTCCCCTGGCAGACCGACTGCTTCAACTACGTGCGCTTCCTGCAGAGCTACAACAGCTCCCACCTGTACGCCTGCGGCACCTACGCCTTCCAGCCCAAGTGCACCTACATCGTGAGTGGGCTCCCAAAGCCGGGTCCCCAAACGTCCCCTGCCCTGCCCGGGGATGTGGCCCCGTCCCCAGGGCTGGCCCTGTCCCCAGGGGTGGCATTCAGGGCGGTTTTGTGGCCGTGAGGGCAGGTTGGAGGTGTCTCCTGTGCAGATGGATCATCAGGGACAGGAACACCCTTGGGTGAGGGACAGGGACAGTCCCTGATGGGTCATCTCGGAGGGGTCGCTGTCCCCAGAGTGGCCCAGGGCTGTCCCTGTCCCCAGGAGGACCATCCAGGGCTGTCCCCATCCCTCATCCAAGGGTGTCCCTGTCCTCTGGAGGGTGGCCCCAGCCTGTCCCTGTCCCCAGGAGGACCATCCAGGGCTGTCCCTGTCTCTGAAGGATCATCTGGGGGTGTCCCTGCCCCTCATCCAGGGCTGTCCCTGTCCCCAGGAGTGTCACCTGCAGGGTGCCCATGTCCCTGGGGCCTGTCTGGGTGGCACAGACATGACCCAGTGCCCCCCCCGTGCCCCCCAGGAGCTCTCTGGCTTCACCCTGGACCCGGTGGCGTTCGAGGACGGCAAAGGCAAATGTCCCTACGACCCCACCAAGGGCCACACCGGCCTCATCGTGGGTAGGTGACACTTCTGGGGGCACTGAGGGGTGGCACCGTGCCCGCCAGCCTCCTTAAACGCCTCCCTCACAGACGGGGAGCTCTACTCTGCCACCTTCAACAACTTCCTGGGCACGGAGCCCGTCATCCTGCGCAACCTGGGCCCGCACTACTCCGTGAAGACCGAGTACCTGACCTCGTGGCTCAACGGTGGGCACAGCGGGGCGCGCGGGGAGGGCACGGGGCGCGCGGGGAGGGCACCGGTGTGACCGGGTGCTTCTGCAGAGCCTCACTTCGTGGCCTCGGCCTTCGTGCCCGAGAGCGCGGGCAGCAGCGGCGACGACGACAAGGTGTACTTCTTCTTCAGCGAGCGCGCCGTCGAGTACGACTGCTACGCCGAGCAGGTGGTGGCACGGGTGGCACGGGTCTGCAAGGTACGCCTGGGCACCCCTGGGCACACCTGGGGACACGCACCGAGCTGTCTGAGGGCACGGGGTTGGGCACCGAGTGCTACGCCGAGCGGGTGGTGGCACAGTCTGCAGGGTACCTTGCTGGTGCCCATGGTCACCATGGTGGCCCTGTCCTGGTGCCCATGGTGGCCTTGTCCCAGTGCCAGTGGTCACCATAGTGGCCTTGTCCTGGTGCCCATGGTCACCATGGTGGTTCTGTCCTGGTGCCCATGGTGGCCTTGTCCTGGTGCCCATGGTCACCATGGTGGCCTTGTCCTGGTGCCCATGGTGGCCTTGTCCCTGTCCCAGTGTTCACCACAGTGTCCCTGTCCTGGGGCCCACGGTCACCATGGTGGCCTTGTCCTGGTGCCCATGGTGGCCTTGTCCTGGTGCCCATGGTCACCATGGTGGCCCTGTCTTGGTGCCCATAGTGGCCTTGTCCCAGTGCCAGTGGTCACCATGGTGGCCCTGTCCTGGTGCCCATAGTGGCCTTGTCCCAGTGCCAGTGGTCACCATAGTGGCCTTATCCTGGTGCCCATGGTGGCCTTGTCCTGGTGCCCATGGTCACCATGGTGGCCATGTCTCAGTGCCTTTGGTGCCTGCAGTGGCTGTGTCCCAGTGTTCACCACAGTGTCCCTGTCCTGGGGCCCATGGTCACCATGGTGGCCGTGTCCTGGTGCCCATGGTGGCCTTGTCCCAGTCCCAGTGGTCACCACAGTGTCCCTGTCCTGGTGCCCGTGGTCACCATGGTGGCCGTGTCCTGGTGCCCATGGTGGCCTTGTCCCTGTCCCAGTGTTCACCACGGTGTCCCTGTCCTGGGGCCCACGGTCACCATGGTGGCCTTGTCCTGGTGCCCATGGTGGCCTTGTCCCTGTCCCAGTGTTCACCACGGTGTCCCTGTCCTGGGGCCCACGGTCACCATGGTGGCCGTGTCCTGGTGCCCGTGGTCACCATGGTGCCCGTGTCCTGGTGCCCGCGGTGCCCACAGCGGCCTGTGCCCGGCAGGGGGACGTGGGCGGCGCGCGGACGCTGCAGAAGAAGTGGACGTCGTTCCTGAAGGCGCGCCTGGTGTGCTCGGCGCCCGAGCAGCAGCTGCACTTCAACCGCCTGCAGGCCGTCTTCACCCTGCCCGGTGCCCGCTGGCAGGACACCGCCTTCTTCGGCGTCTTCCAGGCCCGCTGGTGAGTGCCCGCCGTGCCCGCGCCGGCCTGCGCACCGGGGGCCAGGTCCCAGTGACCGTGGTGGTCTTGATCTGGTGGCCATGGTGGCCTTGTCCCAGTGACTGTGGTGGTCTTGTCCCAGTGGCCGTGGTGGTCTTCATCTGGTGGCCGTGGTGGTCTTGTCCCAGTGACTGTGGTGGTCTTGTCCCAGTGGCCGTGGTGGTCTTCATCTGGTGGCCGTGGTGGCCTTGTCCCAGTGACTGTGGTGGTCTTGTCCCAGTGGCCGTGGTGGTCTTCATCTGGTGGCCGTGGTGGTTTTGTCCCTTTGCCCATGGTGGTCTTGACCTGGTGGCCATGGTGGCCTTGATCTCGTGGCCGTGGTGGCCTTGTCCCAGTGACTGTGGTGGTCTTGATCTGGTGGCCGTGGTGGTCTTGTCCCAGTGCCCATGGTGGTCTTGTCCCAGTGACCGTGGTGGTCTTCATCTGGTGGCCATGGTGGTCTTGTCCCAGTGACTGTGGTGGTCTTGTCCCTGTGCCCATGGTGGTCTTGTTCTGGTGACCATGGTCACCATGGTGGCCTTGTCCTGGTGCCCATGATGGCCCTGTCCTAGTGACCATGGTGGCCTTGTTCTGGTGACCACGGTCACCATGGTGGCCCTGCCCCGCTGCCCATGGTGTCCATGGTGGCCTTGTCCCTGTGCCCATGATGGCCCTGTCCTGGTGCCCATGGTGGCATTGTCCCAGTGCCCATGGCATCCCTGCCCTGGTACCCGTGGTGCCCATGGTGCCCCTGCCCTGGTGCCCATGGTGCCCGTGGTGTTTCTGCCCTGGTGCTCATGGTGGCCGTGGTGCCCCTGTCCTGGTGCCCATGGTGGCCTTGTCCCAGTGCCCATGGTGTTCGTGCCCGTGGTGCCCCTGTCCTGATGCCCATGGTGCCCCTGTCCTGGTGTCCTGGTGCCCATGGTGTCCCTGTCCTGGTGCCCATGGTGTTCCTGCCCTGGTGCCCGTGGTGCCCCTGTCCCGGTGCCCTGGTGGCCGTGGTGTCCCTGCCCGGTGCCCACTGTGCCACCTGCTGTGCCCGCAGGGGGGACGTGGACGTCTCTGCCATCTGCCGCTACCCCATCCTGGAGGTGAGGAAGGCCTTCGAGGGGCCCTACAAGGAGTACCGGGAGCAGGCGCAGAAGTGGGGGCGCTACTCGGGCGAGGTGCCCACGCCCCGGCCCGGCGCGGTGAGAGCGGGCACGCAGCCGGCTGGGGGTGCTGGGGGCAGCTGTGGGGCTGGCATCCGTCCCTGGGGTTGGCATCCATCCGTGAGGGGTTGGCATCCATCCGTGAGGGGTTGGGAGCCATCCATGAGGGGTTGGCATCCATCCCTGGGGGTTGGCATCCATCCCTGGGGGATTGGGATCCATCCGTGAGGGGTTGGCATCCATCCCTGGGGGTTGGGATCCATCCCTGGGGTTGGCATCCATCCCTGGGGGTTGGGATCCATCCCTGGGGGTTGGCATCCATCCGTGAGGGGTTGGGATCCATCCCTGGGGTTGGCATCCATCCATGGGGGTTGGGATCCATCCATGAGGGGTTGGCATCCATCCATGAGGGGTTGGCATCCATCCCTGGGGGTTGGGATCCATCCATGGGGTTTGGGATCTATCCCTGGGGGTTGGCATCCATCCGTGAGGGGTTGGGAGCCATCCATGAGGGGTTGGCATCCATCCCTGGGGGATTGGGATCCATCCATGAGGGATTGGCATCCATCCCTGGGGGTTGGCATCCATCTCTGAGGGGTTGGGAGCCATCCGTGAGGGGTTGGCATCCATCCATGGGGGGTTGTGATCCATCCATGGGGGTTGGCATCCATCCGTGAGGGATTGGGATCCATCCCTGGGGTTGGCATCCATCCATGGGGGTTGGGAGCCATCCATGAGGGGTTGGCATCCATCCGTGAGGGGTTGGCATCCATCCGTGAGGGGTTGGGATCCATCCCTGGGGTTGGCATCCATCCCTGGGGTTTGGGATCCATCCATGACGGGTTGGGAGCCATCCGTGGGGCTGGTGGTGCCCTTGAGGGGTTGGCATCCATCTCTGCCATCCTGAGAGGGATTTGGGATCCATCTGCGCCCTCCTGAGAGGGGTTGGGAGCCGCCCTGGTGCCCTCCATGCCATGACACGGCCCATGGTGCCCTCCTGGCAGTGCATCACGGACTGGCACCGGCAGAACGGCTTTGCCAGCTCGCTGGAGCTGCCCGACAACACGCTCAACTTCGCCAAGAAGCACCCGCTGATGGACCAGCCGGTGCCACCCCAGCGCGGCCGCCCGCTGCTGCTCAAGAGGGATGCCAACTTCACCCAGCTCGTGGTGGACCGCGTGGCAGGGCTGGACGGGGCCACCTACGAGGTGCTCTTCATTGGCACAGGTGCTGGATGCCAGGGGACACAGGGACAGGGACAGAGGGAGAGGGCACCAAGGGAAGAGGGCACGGAGAGGACAGGGCACCGAGGGACAGGGCACCGAGGAGGCCGCCCCTGCGGCGCCCGCGGCTCAGTGCCCGCCGTGCCCGCCCGCAGGTGACGGCTGGGTGCACAAGGCGCTGGATTTGGGCACCCGCACCCACCTGGTGGAGGAGCTGCAGGTGTTCGAGCCGCCGCAGCCCGTCGAGAGCCTGGTACTGGCGGGCACCAAGGTGAGCGTGCCAGGGGGGCGGCGGCGGCGCCGCGGCACCGGCGGCGGCGCCCGGCTGACCCCTGCCCTGCCCTGGCAGAAGCTGCTGTTCGCCGGGTCCCGCTTGCAGGTGGCACAGCTGCCCCTGGCAGAGTGCGGGCGCTACCGCTCCTGCACCGACTGCGTGCTGGCACGGGACCCCTACTGCGCCTGGAGCCGCAACGGCAGCGCCTGCGTCCGCGCCGACGGGCACAACGGGTACGGGCACCGGGCACCGGGATGGCGCCCGGGCTTTGGGGATGGTACCCAGGGCACGGGGATGGCACCCAGGGCAGGCTCAGGCTGGATTTTGGGAAAGGTTCTGTCCCCAGAGGGTGCCGGGCACTGCCCAGGGAATGGGCACGGCCCCGAGGCTGCTCCAGGAGCCTTTGGGTGTTGGGGTGTCTGTGCAGGGCTGCCAGGGTGGGGTTTTGGGGTGTCTGGGCAGTGCCAGGGGTGGGATCAGGGATCCCCGGGGGTCCCTGGGGGGCACCACGGGGACCCCCTGAGTGTGCCCTCCTCCCGCAGGTCCCACCTGGTGCAGGACGTGCTGAGCTCCGACACCGGCGCCTGCTCCGTGCCACAGGTGGCCAAGCAAGGTGAGACCCTAAGGGTGGCACATGGGTGTGCCCGTGGCATCCCGCACACCCCGTGCCATCCCATGGACCTCATCCCACCCCATCCCCTCCCACGGATCCCATCCCATCCCGTGGATCCCATCCCATCCCATGGATCCCATCCCATCGTTCCCATCCCATGGACCCCATTCCATCCCATTCCATCCCACCCCATTGATGCCATCTCATCCCACTGATCCCATGGATCCCATTCCATCCCATGGATCCCACGGATCCCATCCCATGGATCCCACCCCATTCCATGGATCCCACCCCATGGATCCCATCTCATCCCACGGATCCCATCCCATGGATCCCATTCCACGGATCCCATCCCATGGATCCCACCCTATCCCATGGATCCCACCCCATGGATCCCACCCTATCCCATGGATCCCATCCCATGGATCCCACCCTATCCCATGGATCCCACCCCATGGATCCCATCTCATCCCATGGATCCCATCCCATGGATCCCACCCTATCCCATGGATCCCATCCTAACCCATGCCATGGACCCCACCCCATCGCATGGATCCCACCCCACGGATCCCACCCCACCCCACGGATCCCACCCCACGACCCCGCCGGTCCCCCCCGTCCCCGCTGAGCTGCCGGTGCCCGCAGGGCCGCTGACCCCCAAGAACGTGACGGTGGTGGCGGGCACGGACCTGGTGCTGACGTGCCGCCTGGCCTCCAACCTGGCGCGCGCCCTCTGGACCTTCGAGGGCCGGGCGCTGGCGGCGCAGCAGGCGCTGCTGCCGGGCGAGGCGCGGCTGCGGGCGCTGGTGGTGCCCGGCGCGGGCGCCCAGCACAGCGGCACGTACCGCTGCCTGGCCGAGGAGCAGGGCGCCCGCCTGCCCGCCCAGGAGTACCGCGTGGCCGTGCTGCCCGGCCCGGGCGCGCCGCTGGAGACGCGGGCGCCGCCGCAGGGCCTGGGCGCCGTCTGGGCGCTGGCCGTGTGCCTGGGCGCCCTGTGCCTGCTGCTGCTGCTGGCCGTGCTGTCGCTGTGGCGCCGGCTGCGCCGCGAGCTGGGCAAGGGCGCCAAGGCCATCGAGAGCACCCTGGTGTACCCCATCGAGCTGCCCAAGGAGCCGCCCAGCCCGCGCTTCGTGCCCAGCGCCGCCTCCGACTCGGACGAGAAGCTCTGGGACCCGGCCAGTTATTACTACTCGGACGGGTCGCTGAAGATCGTGCCGGGCCACGCCGGCGCCGCGGGCGCCGCCCGCTGCCGCAACGGCGCCGCCTCGCCGCCCGCCGCCGTGCCCGGGCAGCCGCTGCACTCGCCCACGCGCATCCACCTGGGCGCCCTGCGCGGCTCGGCCTCCAACGGGTACATCCGGCTGGCGCTGGGCGCCGAGGAGCGCCCGGCCTGCGCCGACCTGGCCGAGGAGCTGCGGCGCAAGCTGCAGCAGCGCCAGCCCCTGCCCGACTCCAACCCCGAGGAGTCCTCGGTGTGAGCCGCGCCCGGCGCGGGCACCGCCGAGCGGGCACGGCGGAGCTGGTGTCGGCATCCGGCTGGGGACGGGTGGATGGCACCAAATCCCGGCTGGGGATGAGAGCCTGGCACCACATCCCGGCTGGGGATGGAAGTTTGACACCAGGACCTGGCTGTGGATGGACACCTGGCACCAAAACCTGGCTGTGGATGGACACCTGGCACCAAAACCTGGCTCATGATGGACACCTGGCACCAAATCCTGGCTGCAGATGAGAGCCTGGCACCAAAACCAGGCTGAGGATGGACACCTGGCACCTAAACCCAGCTGGTGATGGAAGCCTGGCACCTAAACCAAGCTGGGGATGGAAGCCTGGCACCAAGACCTGGTTGGTGATAGAAGCTTGGCACCAAGACCTGGCTCATGATGGACACCTGGCACCAAAACCTGGCTGAGGATGGACACCTGGCACCTAAACCTGGCTGGTGATGGAAGCCTGGCACCAAGACCTGGCTCATGATGGACACCTGGCACCAAATCCTGGCTGGGGACGGGCGCCTGGCACTGGCACCCGCCCTGGGGACAGGAGTGCCACACTGGCACCCGCCCTGGGGACAGCAGGGTCACCACAGGGTCTGCCCAGTGTCACCCCGGTGCCAGCGCCCGCCCTGGGGACAGGATCGTCACCCTGGCACCGGGATTGTCACTCTGCCACCTGCCTTGGGGACGGCCCTGGCACCCAGGGGGTGGCACTGCCACCCTGGCACCGGGATTGTCACTCTGCCACCAACCTTCGGTACGGTGTCCCCACGGAGGGACAGCCTTGGGGACACCCCCGGGCCCTGTGCCCACCCGTGCCCACCCGTGCCCACCCGTGCCCGGTGCCCTCGGGACGGTTTT